ATTATTCTACCAGTCCTTGCCCTAGGCTAGAACTAACATTTTTATTTTTCGTAAGAAGTGCATTTTCACACCTGATAACCAGGGTAGGCACGCTTATAAGGTTTTCAGGCAGGCAAATGTAGGCAACAGTTACTATCTGTGCTAGTGTACATCTTGTAAATTAGTTCTCAAAGGACTTTGTGATGTAGATTTACACAATCCCAAGGTAACTCAGGCTGGCAGGGACTTGGGGAGGTTTCTAGTCCCAGCTGCAGCTAAGAGGGACAGATCAGGTGGCTCAGGGCTTCACTCAGTTGGGATGTGAAACCCCCAAGCCAGGAAGAAGCCCCCTTTCCACTGGCCCTGGCTCCCTCACCAGCACAGCATCCCTCCCAGACTATAATGTCACAGCCCAGCCACAGAGGCCTGGCTAGAGCAAAGGCAGTTGGCATCCACTGCTCTCCTCTCAGCCCAATTACATTGCAGAAGGCGTGAGGGCTGGATCCAGCTCAACTGATCCTTGGTAAATCCTTACTCACTGTTTCCTGTCACTGTCAGCTCCTCCACGTGCCCAGATGTGGGTTCCAGGAGGTCTCCTTCCTTGGTTTCACCTCAGGCTGATGGCCAGCTTTCCTCCTCCCCCAGCCAGGCCAGTGTGTGCAGAGGCCTGGCAGACACAGGAGGTGAGGACCTGCCTTATCCATGTCTGCTGCCACTGTATCACCTTCAGCTGCAGGGACCCTGACAGGAAGGCCATTGCACACCGAGGAGTCAGTGATCCACACACAGGTAACAACCTGAGCACAGCCTGGCCTCTGCTGTGCGGGACTGCACACACGACTGGGCCTTCAAGCTGCACTGCGCTGCACAAATTCCTCGGTTGCCAGACAAACTCCTTTTAGGACAGGGGCCTGCAGACAGCTCCCCCCCATCAGCAGCAATTGTAGCACCTGCACCACCATGCCTTCATCAAGAACTACAGCAAGAAATTCTTGTAAGAACAATGTTTCTGCTTGCCAGCAGAAAATACAAATATATTTGAGCTATTGTTTGGGAAAAAGTCATACAATAGCTAAAATGAGCAAACAAGTCAGCCTTGCATGGACAGGGTCACAGTGTGCTGTTCAAGCACCATTCAGGAACAAAATGTTTTCCTTACCCTCCAGCAATCTCCTGCATGGCTGGTGTTCTGATGTATTACATTTCCCAAAGAGGATGGAGGTGTTCAGAGAAAGCTCCATCTGCTTCCTTACCCTGGTCAGTGATCTGTAGCACAACCCAAAACACCCAACAAATGCTCCTCTGACCCTGACCCACAAGCTCTATGCAGACCTGAGCCCTACACATCTGAGCTGCTCCTCCATGTGAAGGGCAGCCCTACTCCTCCTCTTCCCTGCCTGCCTCTCCTGAAGGGCTTGTCTCCATCAATCACAGCACTGCCACATCACAGGTATCCCAGCAATACCCCAGCAATGCTGCCCAGCTCTGACCACAGGCTGAGCCCTGGGCCCTGCTGCTCGAATCCCCAGCAGTGTGCAGACAGGAGCACACCCTGCACCCGACTTTAACAGGCCCAAGCTTTGCCTTGTTACCCACACACCGTGTACTTTTGCTTTCTGTACTTGCTCCACCATTTTATCGTACAGCTCAGGGCTATAATGTGCCTCCCATGTCACTGCTAGTGTAACACTCTCCTCACCAGACAGGCCAGCCTCATGGCAAAGGTGCTTTTGCTATAATAAATGAGAAAGGGAAAATGACATCGGATTTCTCACAGGTCAAGCTAAATTTTGTCCAATCTGCTCCATAACAAACCTGAAATTCAGCTCTTCACTCAGTGGATTATGCCTGTCTACATAATGTTCCTCACTCACATACACATGGTTCTGTTCTGCCATCTCTGGGAGAGACTACTTCTCATCAGTCATCTGTACTCAGCCCATCTGATTTTCAGCGTCCAAGACAGGACCAACGACCTGGTTCACAGCTATAATTTCACTAGTGCCACAGCAAAGAAAAGTTTTATGCCATGTGGTCTTATGTTTCTCACTTGTCATTTTCTATCTTAGCTACTGTAAATATCCTGGGGAAAATTTCACCTCAAAAGCAATTTAGTCTTTGAACAAAAGAAAAAAATCTGCTGTCATCAGAAACTGTAGAGCAGAGCAGCCAGTTATCTCAGTTTTTATTGAACTAGAACACTGTGCAGTGTCTGCTTAAAATGGGTTGGAAAACTCACATAATTCAGAGGCTCCAAGTACAAATGACTCTCAAGATCTTGGCAGAAAACGTCCAAATTCCCTTTATGGGCAGAAATTCAATGTGATCCAAAATGTGATCTGCTGGTTTGCATGGCAAAATTTTTATCAGTTTGAATAGGGGGGGTTCCACACTCTTTTCCCTTTCCAGAGTTACAAAAGCAGATGATAGAGAGAGGAAAAAAGCAGAAAAGGCTTAATTTCTAAAGCTATAACCATATTTCACTCCTTCAATATGTAATGCCTTCACTCAAAATGAAACCAGGGTTATTCTAAACAAATATCATAGCTAGACATCGTTTGGAGTCAGCCACATGTGTGCTCTATGCAGCATTGGCTCTTGCAAACCTTTTCCATCTCAAATATTCTTCACTTCTTCAGCTCCTGTCAATGCAGCAATTTCTTCTCTATCACTCAAACACTAATAGCAAAACAAGGTAAATAAAATTTAACACCCCTCCATCCCACCCTCACCCCCCCAAGCCCCCTTCCTGATCATTTTGGTAAAGAAATAATATTACCAATATTACCAAATAATATTACCAATATTATCAATTATCCTTCAGGAATTAACAAAGTAATAAAACAGTAGCCAACCCTTAGGACTATTCAATAAAAACGTAACACTTAATGAATAAGTGTGAAACAACAGTATCAGCAGTTTCAACAAGTGTGTAAAGAAAAGGAAGGCCAGAAAATACAGATTTGGAGGTGGGAAAAACAACCAAAAAGTACACGCGCATATCACCACTTGTACCAAACTCCTGCTTCAGCACTGCACCCCAAAAATTCTCCCCAGACAAGTCACAACCTTTAAAAAGTAAACTGTGGCAGACAAAGAGAAGTTAGCAGAAGAAAAAAAAAATAATTCAAGAAACAAGGCTGGGGGGATGAGGCCAAAACACTGATGTTAAAAGGACTGAAATATTACACTTTATTTCCCCCCCTTCCTCCCCCCCAGATAGTGTGGTTGCAAGTGGGAAGGGGAAAAAAAAGGTGCTGGTGGAAAATGTCTCAAAAATTACTATGTTCTGGCATTTCTTTGGAAAGTGGTTCCAAGTGATTTATTCTTAGTGTTGAAATGTGATTTCAGAAACCCTATTCTCTCATTAAAAAAAAAGGCATAAACGAAGAAGACAAACTAATAGTTACCCATTCTCAACAAAAAACCCCATGTTTTCAAAGAACCTGACAAAAATTAAAAAAAAATAAAAACCCTAACAAATTACCAAACTAAAAAATTCAGAATCTGTCATTCCCATCTGTCCTGCACTTTATGAAGTTTAGTGGGCTTAATGTAATGAAAATTCATTAACATAAAAACCACCAATATAGTACTACTTTAGAGAAAAGGAAAGGAAAGGAAAAAGTTGCTCATCCTCTCAGACAGATTCTGGAAAAGCAAAGATTAAGCAAAGATTAATACAACCTTTCAATTCTGGCGAAACACTTGCAACCTGAATCCCATTCAGGGTTCTGGCTGGAGTAAGAATTCATCTCAGCTGTAAGCCACAAGAACAACAATGTTGTTTAGAACAACAGAAACTCAACAAGCCCTCAAAAAAACCCAAAACAACCCCCCCCCCACAAACCATCCAACCAACACCAGCCCTCAACTGCACAGTGCATTTTTCTGATGAGTTCTAGCCATATGATCCTTACCTGGGTTTAAGCCATCTATTGCAAAGTTTGTGTATTATTGGAAAAACCCACTCCAAAACCCCACTCTAAACTACTGTATTTTAATCTACAGCATGGTACAGATGAATGCAATGCTACTCCCATTCCCCCTCCACAAGATAATGTTGTTAATTTGTATGATGCTTTCTTGTTGCCATGACATCCTTTGTACCGTAGGTCTCTTTACCCTTATATTATTTTCCCCTCTGAAATTCAACCTGTGGTCATTTTATCCCCAGGTCAAAAGCTTGTGAATGTGTGTTTATTTTCAAAATTGTACATTTGATCTGATGAATAAGATTTATAACTCCAGACCTCAGACAGTCTGCTTTAGGTAAGAATACACAATGCTCTTTCTAAGCACATGAGAACTGAGATAGTCCTTGGACAGTGAGAAGTTCTTCCAAAAGCTGTGTTTCTGTGTGTTTGTTCAGCACTTACCTACAGGATTCCGATCCCAAGGAGACAGGCCACCAAGCACTCTAATAAATATCACTCCTGTTTGAACGCTCAATTTGTTCTCTCAATTTTCCTGTATGGTCAAGATGTTCGTTTTCCTAACTTAAAATCTATGCTGTAGTATGCATCTCCATTAAAATGTTTGTCTACCCACCCCAGAGTTTTCCCGGCACATCCCATCGATCTGGCAGAAGGCAGACGCACCAACAAGGGGGCACCCACCCGAGAGGAAAACCTCTGGTTCCCAAGGGGCAGCTTTCTGCCTACATCCCTTCGGGTCTTTCGCCTATGATCGCTCCCACTGTTCCCTCAGCCGCACACCGAGGGCGCGGGCGGCAGGCAGATATTGCCCCCACGCCAGCGGCGCTCCGGGCCGAGCCGAGCCGAGCTGCGCTCCGCAGGGAGCGCCAGGACAGAGCCGAGCCGGAGACCCGCACCGGGGAACAGCTACAAAGTCAGGCTCGGCGCACGGGAAAGGCGATTCCTCCTCCCGAAGCGCAACAGGTCGGTGCTCATGCCCCCCGCCCCAGCCCTCGGAGCGAGGAGGTACCCGAAGGGTGCAGCATGGCCGCGGTCACTGTCACGGTCACTGTCGCGGTCACTGTCACTGTCGCGGTCACTCACCGGCAGCGCGGGCGAGGAGGCTCCGGTGCGCTTGGAGCCGCGCCGGGAGCTGAGCCGCCGCCAGGACTCGGCCAGGCGCCCCCGGCCGCCGCTGTTGGCGCCCTCGGCGGCGCTGCCCCGCTCGGCGCTGCCCCGCTCGGCGCTGCCCCGCTCGGCTCTGCCGGGGCTCAGCCGCCGCTGCTCCATGCCCGCGGCGCGGCTGAGCCCCGCAGCCGCCCCGGGCCCGCCTCGGGCGCTTTATGGGCGCGGCGGAGGGGCGGGGCGCGGCGGGGCGGCATCCCCGGGCCCCGGCGCTGCCCCGAGGGGCTCCGGGCGGGCCGCCCGTCCCGCGGCGAAACTGGGTTTCGGTCTGCAGCGTGAATTAGAGAACAGGCACAGAAAGAGAAAGGGACAGGTAGGTGTACTGTGCTCAGACGTGACAAGTTGTGACACCTGCTCATCTCCCGTCTAGATCTTGCCAAAATCGTGCCAGGAGGCTTTTCCCAAATACACTACGTTAATAGCTCTAGGGAAATAAATTAGTCCTTTCCTATAATAAAATATGTTAATGCTTAATGTCTAGCAACTGTCACATGTGCGCAGCCTCCACTCTAAGCCAAGCGTTTTCCCCTACAGTTTGCACATCGGAGAATGAAAACACCAAGTCAGGGAAAGATGGCAAAGTACCTGTTGTACTGTGACACTCTTTGGGGGGCCATGTGGCCTGCTTTTCTTTCTTAAGATCAAGAAGGAGCACCTCTTAAATTTAGTCTCGTTACTAGTACCCGAAGTGCTTCTGCAGTGCTGGTCAGGGTCCTGGTTCATTACGCCCTTTCAGGCACTTAAGAACACAGGGGTTCATCATCTGTGCGTGCTGAGCACAGGACACTGCTGCAGTGCCACGGAGGAAATCTGCCTCTTCTCTGCCCTCCAAGCTCACTGCTGATTTTTCTCACCAAAGGCAGAGGATGCTCAAGTCTCCACAGCTGAAATAACAAGGCAGCTAATCTCTGTTTTCCAGGCAAGATTAAAAACACGGGGAGTGTTTTGCAGGTATTAAACCATTGATTTGCATTTATGATTTAACCCTTTTTTTAAGGATTTATTGAAGGGCCATTTTACTGATAAAGCCAGACATATCCCTGCTCCTTTCTCAAGTAGCTTAACTTTCTATCTAAAAAGATGTTATGACACTATAATGAATGATATTATTCTATCTATAGCTTAAGTGATTTGTGAAAGCATGTATTTTCATCACAGTGTATCTAATGTCATAGTATTAAACAAAAATACTGGGTCAGAGTTTCCAAAGAACATGTTAAACTCCTTACTAAATATATGTTAGAAGAAAATGATTAAGGGGTTTCTTGTGACTTTAGGTAGTCTAATGCTCTGCAAACCCCTAGTCACACTCCAGACTTCCATTCAGGGGAGACAGGCATTATTGGGAGGATCTGTTTTTCCAGTTCCTGTGACTATAGTAGGAAGCCACTTCATTTGGGTGAATTATTGTCATGAATGCTTTTATCTTCATTTATTCCTCTCTGAGGCACATCAGCATTTGGTCAGCTTTGCTGATTGTATTAATTAGCTATATCATTTTAATGGTGATTTTAAAAGTTTAATAGATTAATGGATTAATCTGTAGATTAATTCTCTGACATCTCCTCTATCTCTTAGTAATAACTATTAAATTTCCCAAATTCCATGTGTTCCTTAAAATATTCTTTAGAGGAATCTAGTGATTTTCAGATCCCACAAAAATCTGTAAGCAAGTTAAAAAGTCATATTACATAAAACTCATTAGACATGTTCTTATAGATTCTTGTTGGGACAATGGGGAAAAAGAATCTCAAGAAATCAAAAGAATTAAAATGCTGTTGTTATGGTCTTTATCAACATACTATATGCCTGGCAAGAAATTATTTTCATTCCTGGCAGAAACGGACACGACTGCATGTTATGAGTGCAGTTGCCTGATATTGTCATTTCAGCCCTTCTTCCACCTACAAACTTATTCTTCACAGTCATTCATTAGTATGTTCAAATATTTTTCAAGAACTACATGAAGACATGTCAATAAGTGGTACAGGGTGGTGACATTTGTCTGATTTAGATCTGACTGAGCAGAGTCCAAGACCCACTGAAGTGTTTGGAACAGTTTGAACTACTGAGAGGCTCGGGAACAGTCATTCAAGGCTGATGAAAAGCTTTCTTTTCACTTTCCATTAACAAGACAAAAGTTATAGGGAGATTTATGCTGGAAGGGGCCACTGAAGGTCACCTAGTCCAAGCCTCTCCCTAAAGTAGGTTTGTGTACATCAGTTTGTTTAGGGCTTTGTCCAGTCAGGTCTTGTAAAAACCCAGAACTGAAGATTTCATTGCTCCTCTAGACAATGTTTCAGTGTTTAAGCATGATCTCAGTCAAAAAGCTTTCCATTACACCTAACTGGAATTTCTCATGTTCCCATATTTGTGTGTTTCTGCTTGTTCCTTCACCATATAATTTCATGGGCAGCCTGGCTCTATCTTCTCTCTCTACACCTTCTCACTCAGCAGTCAGGGGCAGCAACTCAGACTCCCTGGAGTCTCTGTCCTTGAGACTGGACAGCCTTATGCTCCCAGCCTTGTCAGTCATATGAGACTCTCTGCAAAGAGCTGCAAGTAACTTCACATTTTTCAGTCCTGGTGCTCATGGGGGAGGTTCAGCCACCCCAATGTCTGCTGGCGCACTCTACATGCAGGCACAAGCAAACATTGGCCTGTTCATGAATCTGCTTGAAAGAGGACAAGCACCTCAAGTTAAAAGGGGTGCAAGAGAGTTGGTTGTTACTCGAGGAAGCAAGGAAAGGATGGCCTCCCCCATGCTCCAGAGCAATCCATCCTGATGAGCAAGGAATTCAGGAACACACCAGGAGGCCTCCATGGAGACTGGGGCAAGGAGATCAGGACAAAACACAGATGCAAGGAAAGTGTACCGAAGGCGAAGGCAGTGACAGGATGCCTGGGAGGAGTACAGAGATCCTAGCATCTTCTAGCATAAAGGGTTGACATCAGGAAAGCTGATGCCCAGCTGCTGCTGGGTCTGGCAAGGATGTCTTGAGGAAAGGCATGTGAATGAAGGCCCTGTGCATATTTCATAACTATGGTATAAGAAACAGAAAAGCAATCATAAGCACCATGTAAAAATGTGCTATTCCTTGCCATGTTTCTGAGAACAGTCCTCTTCCTGTTAGTGAAGAATTTGTATTTATATCTGCTTTAGGTGTACTCAGATTGCTGTCACAGCAGCATGGTGCTGCCACAGCTGTTACTGAGAGTCTTCTGTGGGACTGTCATCTTTGCAAGTTTGCCATTGCTGTGATGATGTAGGGCACAAACAATTCATTATTGGGCTTGAAAGTGCTTCTGCCTCAAACTCATGAGATTCCTTTTCAAAGTGTGGGTCATAATGTAAAATACACATTTTTCAAAGGCCAAGTACTCTGCCAAACTTTTTTTTCTTTTTAGTAAACAAATTCCTCTCAAAATTTTCTACTAGTACAGGAAAAACCCAATAACTGATGCTTATGATTCACTTCCCTTAAAACAGGAAAAATGTTGTAGTTTCTTTCATATATCTTCTATTATGAGTGGGTCATACACCTCTGCTTTTTATAAGCTGCACTGTGGAAGATCTTTTTTCTATTCTCCACTTTACAGAATTTTAATTAAGGAAGTTAAATACACTGAAATCAAAAGCTGGCAATAGTATTATTTAGAAGTTCTGTACTAGAGTTGTTGCATACTGTTCTTATTTTCTAACACAAGTGGTCTTCTTTTTTTATACCTTGCAATTTTGTAGAGAGACAGATAAATCCTATCCTGTACTATATTTTTTGGTGGATACTAAAAGAAGTCTTGTTTAGTTCAACCAAGTTGAACCATAGTTCTGAGAGTGGCAAGATGCCAACAAAATACAGCTTTGATTTTGAAAGCAGTAACCAGTCATAATTGTCTTATAAAAAGAGTGAAGGTGATCATACACTTTTCTGAAAGTCAGACAACAAAATCATCCTTGAAACTTACCTAGAATTCATAGTCTGAATGTGCCATGAAAATATCTCAAATTCTAGATTTTAGGTCATAAAGCTATTTCTCTTGAAATTTTTGGAAAATATCATAGTACAATTTATTTTCTAAAGCACAAATCAACAGCAGTCTCTGGGTTTTGAAGGCTATAGGTGAAACCTTTTAATTTAAGTATTGTTTGTATCATTCATAGAAAAAAAATGTTATTAACTAAATAGGAATAAGCTTCTTGTTACAAACAGACCAAACATCGGATGAAAAGTGTTGTTTTTTTGAGCCTATTTTTTTCTATTCAATGTGAATGATGTGGAGGTAGAGCTTTATGCTACCAGATAACTAGAAAATGAACTTTGTATTTTTATGTTTATCTGAGTCATCATTGTAGGATAATGGACTAAACAGAAAAGCACTGTTGCCAATTTATATCTGGAAAATAACATTGAAGTGACCTCTGGTGTGTCACAGTAACTTTAAAACTGAATCAGGTATTATTAATGGCTATTTTTTTAAGTGCATCTAATGTCTTAGCCACTTGATCATTCTTGCCTTGCAGTGTTTAGGCACCCTTGACATTGGGAACAGATAGATTATTTTCTGGGTCACCACTGGAAGAAGCTGTATAGAACATTGGTGATTAATAACTTCTTTTTCTCAATTATGCCTGGTCACCTCACTGAAGCATGAAAGGACAAACAATGGGAAAATTTTTATGGTTTCTTAGAAGCCTTTAGTGTGGTGTTTATTCAAGCTGAACTCTCTCTACACAGGGAAGTCATTTTGAGCAGAGACTGCAAGATCAACTTTCAACATTTAAGTTTTAATTACACTCAGTTTTTCTTTCTCCCATCTGTTCACATCAAAAGTTCACAGTCTCTAGTACAACATTGTGAGAAACATTTGCAATACCTTAGAAAATGAGCAGACATCATGAAAAAATACTCCACACTACTTTTTTTCTGGGGCTGTCATTCATTATGCAAAAAAACAGGCAACAAATACAGAACAAAACAAAGAATTGCTCAGCTTGGATTTTACCCTATTTTTACATAAAAATTAAATTAAATACTCATTTCAAGACACATTTGGCACTTAGTAATACAGTATTTGATGGCACAACATATTTATGCTTAGACCAT